ACGATAAAGTTACGAATAATAAGCTCCGTGTGTGTAGTGATACCCGCAGGTCGAACACTCATTATTACAGTATTTTCTACTCTTTGATCTGAATGATGTCATCTCAGGGACTGAAGCCCCGTCGGCTACTGTGTGAGAGGGAGAGCCAAACAGAAGAAAAGTGGCGTAAAGCCAGCCTTGTTTCAGACAAGGGCTGAGCTCTGAATCATGCAGAGCTGCTGTGCTGGAGTCAGAAAATAAAAGCATGGAGCTGTTGTCTTTTCTCTTTTTAAATTTACATTTTCTGTTTTTGTTCTTATGAATCTGAGTCTCTGAAACATCTGGATCTCCTGAACTCAGTGACGGTGAAACGGTCTAAGCTTAAAAATGAAGAAGAATCCAGCAAATGTTTTGACGCTGAGGAAGCATCAGCGGATCATATCGCCTCAGCATTCAGTGAAACCTGCAGTTTTTACCATCTGCAGGGACGCCGTCTGTGTTTCAGCTGTGATGGCTGGTTGGTGTAGAAACCTGAAGACCAGCTCACATTTCTCTACAGAAGTGAGCCTCAACACTTCCTGAAAGCTACTTTTTAAATCCTTTAAAATTTTATTTTACTCATGAAAGCAAAAACAGGGGCGACAGTGAATCAGACGCTGGCTTCAGTCTTGTGACGCTCAGATTCAGGTGTTTATCGAGTCCTATGAGAGCTGCTGAGGTTGACCTTTTGATGCTTTTGATCTGTGGCTTTGCTCTGCTTCAGCGTGCCGGACAGAAAGCTGTTGTCATGGTGATTTAATGCCACCTGAGAGCGAATCAGCTGATGCAGACAGCAGCAGGTCGAGGACCGATGCCGTTGATGTGTAACTCTCTCTCAGGCTTTTATCTCAGCTGTGCTGACGGAGGACGAACAATGGCCTCATAGTTTGGGCTCAGCGGCGTGCTTCAAAAGAGTTCAAAGGTCACCGCCGTGAGTCAAAACTGGTCAGCATGAATCGACAGTCTGACTCCCGTCCACCGCTCCACAGCACCTCAGCTGCAGGAGGCTTTCTGAGAACAACTACATAAAAATCAAAAGCTTTACCTGATTTAACCGACCAATCTCAAACTAGCCCCATCCTAAATCCTCCTCTTACGGTGTCATGATCTGACTCATAAGCTGTGGTGGAAAATGATACAGGCATAAACCCGGAGAAGGGTAACTCTGCCGATGACACCCCGCACTGCTGCGGTCCGACCACAAGGGGGCGCACACAACCCTAACACCCGAGGATCATAAACAGTATGAGTTATGCAGAAATGGGCAAAGATTAATATCTCAGTAATCTTTGTGTTTGACTCGTTGTGTGGCGGTTAGCTTGATGAGCTCATTTCCTGTTTCTGCAGGTCAGTGAAGCTGAACGGCGAGGTGTTGATGATGGTGGACGATAAAACGCTGCCTGAACTCAAAGGAAAACTTCTCCTGCCGGCTCGCCACCTGCAGCTTCCTGCCTACTCGCTTGCCTTCTTCGTCCTCCCAGACGCCCAAGCTCCGGCGTGCAGCTGATGACATCACACGGAGAGGTGCTGTTTCCTCACACTGTGGACGCCTCAGTGTCAGATTTTTAGACAATACTGCCACTTTCTGATAATGAGTTTATTGATTCTCACTCATGACCAAACATCTCCATCTATGTCTCCACCCGCTCGTCAGTCACAGAGGCCACGCCCCTAATAATGTGAACTTCAAGGTTGATGAGGATGATGGATATGGAACAATATGGAATAAGATACTTAAATGTTTTTTTCATAACAATTTTCAGAAACCAAAAATATTTTTGATACGACCGTGTTTCAGCGTGTCATCAGTGAGGACGTCTAATGATCTAATTAATCAAAAAGCACAATGCTGACGCCGCCTCTTTGCCATCATCGTCGTCAGCAGGCTGGAGCACGTCCTCCTGATGCTGCAGCTTCACGTTATCATGACAGCAAATGTGTCAGAGTTTAAGCAGCGGGGAGACAGTGCTGTCACCATCAGGTCAGACTGGGAACTGCAGTAGTGTCCTCCATCATCTTTATCCAGTCTGTTCATAAAAACTTCAGTAAAACTAGAAAAAGGTTTTGAAACTTTAACCAGATGTATACATCTTTATAACAGATATTTTACACTGAAAATATAAATGTGTAATATATATATATATAATAATATATCTATAAACTTTAGTGTGAACTCTGCTAATTAAATATTTATTTCATGAAATCTTTCTGTTCTCTGCTGATTTTAAATTGGACTCTAATAAAACTAATGAACCAGTGCCCGACGCTCTCAGTGTGAGTGTGAAGCTCAGGACGCCTGAGAGGCCCTGCTCTGAGACCTTCAGCTTATTAAAGGACACTAGATTCAGAGTTTAATGTTTGAACTTTTATTTGATGCAAGATAAAGACAAACATCACATTTCCTTTTTCATTTGTCCTGCTCCTCGCCGTGAGTGACGACGTAACACAAGGATTTGTAGTCCAGGTTTCTGGTTGCGTTTATGTTTGATGACTGAAACATCTGCTTCATCTACAGACACACAGGTATCGATGTCACGCCTGTCACTAAACATTTCCAAAGCGAGCCCTTTTCATTTTTACACTTTCATTCGCTCAGTGTTTTCACTTTCTATCACGGCCTGAATAAGGAGACGTTGGCGTGAGAACTCTTTGTGGATGAAGCCTTTGTCGTCGGGGTCGAACATTTTGATGCACGCTGCAGGCACCGACCTGTTTCAGCGACTGCTGAAATAAAAATAAGAGTGTATTTGCAGGGTGAAACACCTCAGAGCGATGGCCACCAGCAGGACTCTGTACTGTATTCTACACGGTGTACAGAAGTTTATAAATGTATTAGTAGATCATATTTAAATATAACTATATTATAGTAGATACACAGTAGTATAATTCTGTGCTGTATTGTAGATGGTGTAGAGTAGTGTAACTTTATTGTACTACTGTTTACCATCTAGAATACAGTGTATTAACTGTATTACACAGAGTAATCCGGTTCGCTCTGTTAGGTCTCTGAGCGTTTAGCTTCATTGGTAACATTTCAAATTGTGATTTGTATAAAAAGCATAACCATGGGCTGTGAGAGAACACCTACCATCTCTGCTCATCAACTCTGATGCTGCTCTATGATGATTTGGGGTCAGAGGCTTTATATACAGCAGCTGTCCGGGATGCAGATGCCACACAGTGATAATCTGAACTGACCAGCCCTGTGGGGGTTGAGGTGGGAGCCTTTGGTCCTGCAAAGTTCCCCTTACATGGAAAGCGCTCGGTGAAAGCTCGGTTCTCAGGAGGCCCAACAAGTGTTTCTATTTTGAGTCAAACATCAGACGCAGGAAGGCCGAGGCCACACCCGTCTCTCTTTTTATGATAAATGGCCTGTATTTGTATAGCGCTTTACTTAGTCTCTATGGACCCCAAAGCGCTTTACACTACAATCAGTCATCCACCCATTCATACACAGGTGATGGCAAGCTACATTGTAGCCACAGCTGCCCTGGGGCACACTGACAGAGGCGAGGCTGCCGGACACAGGCGCCACCGGGCCCTCTGACCTCTGACCACCACCAGTAGACAACGGCTGAAGTGTTTTGCCCAAGGACACAACGACTGAGACTGTCGGAGCTGGGGCTCGAACCGGCAACCTTCTGATTACAAGACGAACGCCCAACTCTTGAGCCCCAATTTTATTTCATTAGTTCAATGATATTTTATATGATTTTATTTTGAGTTTCAGGTGAAAAATCTCATCAAACTCTGTGATGAAACTGAGTGACTTCCGGCCCTGGACAGACTGAGAGCTATTCACAGCTCTGTGTAATAATTCAATAATACATGTTTTATTTATCACAGCATTCAGAACTCAGATTTTTTAAAACCAGTGAACCGGTGCCGGACGCTCTCAGTGTGAGTGTGAAGCTCAGGATCACCTGAGACGTCCTGCCCTGAGACCTTCAGCTCATTAAGGGACGCCGTGTGGTCACTGCTGGCATTACCTACAGTGACCACACGGAGGCGCTGTGGTGTTTGGCTTCAGCTCTGTGCTGCGCAAAATCCATCCAACAAATACAGCACGTGACGTCAGAAACCAGGTGGCCTCTTCATCGTCATCGTGAGGAAAATAAGACCGTGCTGCAGAGCAGGTGCCGAACTTAATTAAAAAAAAAGATCCAACAATTTTAAATGTTTTTATCCAACAACAGGTGACAGTGAAGCACACGTGGCTCTTTGTGACGTATTTCAGATCTGCTGAGTGTGCTATCATATTCAGCGTGTAACAGCATGTAATGCGCAGCACAAGTATTACTGTGAGTGCGTTTAAATCAGACACTTCCTTGTTTTTCGCTTTATTTTATTGAAATGAGAATGAAAACTTTAAACGTTGAGAACGAAGTTTAGAATAAACACCAAGAAACCATTCTTTAGAGTTCACTGTTTGTTAAAGACTAATATTACTTTTGTCACAGTGAAACTTTGGTTTTTAAGGATAATATTTTTCTTCGTAAACAGTGTATGTAATTAAACATTTTTCCAAGACAGTGTCAGAGAAACTTTTCGGCTCGGGCTTCTTATTTTATATTACGCTTATTTTAATGAATGTTCCCCCTTTTTTCATTTGTTTATTTTTAATTTTATCCCAAAGACATTGCATTTTAATTTATTTTGCCCCACAGACAGTGTTTATTTAATATTATTTTTTACTGAAACTTTTTTATTTTCCATAGTGTGTTTATTATTTAATTTTATTTCTTAAATTTTTCCGTAGGGTGTATTTTTTTTATTAATGTATCTGTAATTTTTTATCCGTAATTTTATTAGAGATTATTATTATTTTCCGTACATTGTGTATTTTTACTTTATTTATCTATTCACACCGTAGACAGCAGAGTTTTTATTTATGCAGTTATTTTCCATTGACAGTGCGGTGCACACGCTGAGTGGGCTCTGAAGGAGGCGCATTCATACCGCTTTAATACTACATTACCCACAACCCCCCGCCCGCGCTGAGCCATGTTGTAGGAAATCCGCTTGCGGCGGATTATTGTAATCCGACAGAGGGTCTGGGCGACACATCGGATCACGACAGGAAAAAACTGAAGCGCAGCGGCCTGGAACAGATGCACCTTGTCCGAGAATAACGGGATAAAGCCGAGACATGATCCGCCGCGCCGCTCGGTGCTGCTGAAGCCAGAGATCGGCGCTGCTGCCCGGGCCGCTTCCTGCCTGGACCGCGGGTCGGCATCACCGCACCGCAGAGAGGAGTAGGGCAGAGCGGAGAGGCTCCGGTTTGTCGGTGAAACGGACGCCCTCGCTCCCTCTTCCCTACCCTGGTCAGGTCTGACTCCAGCTCGACTCGGTTCGCTTGCCCTGTACGCGGAGGGACGCGCTGCCGCCGCCGCTCCCAGCCCCACCACCAGCTAGCGCGGCTAGCTCGCTCCAGCTAGCCTGCTAGCTCGTCAGGAAGAATCGGTCCAGTTTAGTTCGGAATTTCTCCTGTTTTCCGGCCCGCAGCCCGCAGGGAGGGAGCATGTCGGCCAAAGACCAGAGCAAACTCTCCACCACGGAGCGGCCCGTCAAAGGTACGTGATTGTCCGGCTTTAGAGCGCGTTCCTGGGGCAGGAAGTTGACGGGTGTCGGGGCTAATGGCTTCGCTAAATGTGAGCAGCTGGATGTCAGAGCCGCAGTTAACGGTGATTTCTCCCCGAGCTGCCCGCTTTAACGCCTCTTCCACCAGGCAGGGGGAAACAGGCAGTCCGGCCAATCAATCAGCCCGCTAATCGATGCCGCGGCAGCTAACAACTTAGCCTTTTAGCTTAGCAGCCCTGAGCTCCAGATGTAGGTGTGCGGTGTGAGAGCCCGCCGTCAAGCCACGCTCGATGCTTGGGTTCACGCGGAAAGTCCGCACGACGCCGCGGATACCTGGATCCTGTCCGCGGGTATACACCGCCCCGTGTGCGGCAGGCAGCTGGCCTCGTAATGGTTCAGGGGTGAATAAACTGGCCTCGTCAACCCCCCGCCCCCGAATCTGCCCCGCTGTGTGTGTTTATGGAAAATGAGTTTGAAATTGAGGTTTGTGTGGAGGACTGAGCCACGTTCTGCTGCTGCGGTTTTTCTCTGCGGTGTTCAGAGCTCTCAGAGAGGCAGCAGCTGGTGCTTCACCGCTCTGCAGAACAAACACCCCCGAGACGAGCCCATCCGAGCCCGGAGGCAACCTCCTGCTCAGCATCACAGGCTCTCCGAACCCCTGCACACACACCCCACATTTAAAGACCTATCAATTTAATTTATTATAATTTAATGAAAATATTTTTATTTTATTTTTTACGTTTTATAATTCAGTTCATCTTTATTTTGGATTTTTTTTCATTTATATTTTAGTTTTTTATTGTATCATTAGTGTTTTAGTTTATATTTGAAATGTTCTGCCATTTAATTTCACAAATTATTTAGTTTATGTTATGCTATGATTGTGGCGATTTCACAGTGTATAACCACATGGTTATTATTATTATCAATCAGGAAACAATATTAATAATATTAAAATGGTGGTGGATAGTGTCTTTCTTTACTTCTGCTTTTGTTTTATTTTTGGAGTTTTTGATGGCACCTTAAAAAGTTGTTATTGCCCACTTTAGCCATCAATGAAATTATCCGGTTAGATTTAAACAGAACTTTTCATCTGCAGAAGGCTCATGAGTCTGAGAGACACTGCTCCCCACCAACATCTACTGTTTTATAAGACCTGCTTATTACACAGTAGATGAATAAAATTATTAAGTTCAATGTCGTTATCATTTCTTCATGATGAAACAGGAAGTAATGAAGCTATTAGGAGTTGTGTCTCCAAACGGGCGGCGTTGGGTTGTGAACTCTGGTTCCTGTTGAATCACTGAAGCCTAAAATAACTTCCTGCTGCTCCAAGCATCAATGAATTTGAGCGTTTTTAGCGTGTTTTAGACTCGACTGTTAGGCCGGCTAATGTATGCTGATTGATCAGGAGCACTGCACAGATGGGCCATCGCTGGAGCCCAGTTTGGTGGTTGCTGGAGAATAAAACGGCTTTCTCTCTGAGTCGTTGTGGTGTCGGGTGAAGCAGCAGGTGGGGTCATGTTTGATATGCTCACCGGGTTTGAGAAGCTTAGGAGGGCCACTGGTCATTACACAGACCTCCTTAATGCCGGTGCCACCGCTCAGGAAGCCGATACGGCCGACTCTGATTGGATTTACCTGCTCAGAATCACCTTTGATTGTTTATCTGTGAGCACCAACACAACAACTCTTCCAGGAATATCTGGATGGATTTCCAGATCCACTCTAAGAGTTTATCAGTTCGTTTTTGAAAGTCCAGAACCTTATCCTTCTGATAAGCTGCCCTGAGCACTCAGCCTCACTGTTGGTTTTCTCTGATGACAACCTGGTTGCTGTTTGATTTGGGAATGGTCACAGAGAACAGCTCCTACTTGGATTCTGGGAATTTTCTTTGGGATGTTTCCACGTGTTGTTTGCAGCCCTGAATCAGCTCGATTGAATTATGTAATTACTTCAGGCTGAGCAGCTTGCTGCTGATGGCTGTAGTTCATCACAGCAGCCCAATCTGCAGCTTCCTGTTGAACCCTGTGTGTGTGCGCGTGCATGTGTGTTCTGGCCTTTTGGTTTAGTTACCGATGGTAATCGAATCAGTCGGGCCGTCTGCCTCGCTCGGCATGTGTAATGATTCTGTCCTCATTCATGATTGATGGAGCTGGGCTGGAGGATGCAGCAGGATTGCTCTGCTGTCCTGGCCTCTGTGATGGAGCTCCACCTTGGACCCTGTCCACTCCACCCACAGAGAATCGGGTCAGCACGGTCTCCAAAGCCTATAATCTTATGGTTATTCCATCCAACATCAAAAGGAAGGAAAATGCTGATCTGTTAAGGTGGTTAAGGTGTTAAGACTTTTTGGGGTGGGCCCGAGCACGGAGTGCCGTCTGGGGCCTGTCCCGCTCAGGGGTACACGCCAACCCTCACCCTGTACGTTCGGGCGTTGTGCAGTCAAAAAGGTGCACATCTGCAGCACTTTAAGGGTCACATGAAGTTAGACAGGTATTTGGGTATTTATGGTGTGATTGGAGCTCAGTATGAGAGACTTCACGTTAGTTTCTCCTTTCGCTGCTCTTAGCCTTGCTGTGGGTGCACCTCCTCACACGCAGAGTGGAGCAGAGGGAGGATGGGAAGGAGGTGGTAACCATCCAGGTGATGACAGAGCTGCTCCTCAGGTGTGACGCTGAAGCTAACAGGCGCTAGCGTTTGACCTCGGTTTGTGGTAGATGCGTGAAGTCGTGCAGAGGTGTTCAAGTATGAACTCGAGGCAAGACTGAAAGTAACACACACACAACTGCAGGTTATTAACAGTAATGTGAAGCTGTCAGCCCGACCTGCTCCAACTTGTGTGGATGAGTCAGTTTGGGTTATTCGGCTGTGTGGGGTTTGTTCCTGAGCAGTTCCTTTTCTCTGTCGGTCACGTTAACGTTGCTCGTTATCGATGGCTGCGTCGGCTGCAGGAAGCTGTGAGTTCATATATATGCAAACAAGATGAAAATGAGCTTCTTATCTAACGAGTTGTCATTCTCGTCCGTGCAGATGTTTGCATGGCGGCGTTAATGTGAGGCTCAGACTGAAGCCTTAGCTGTGATGGTTTGGTCTCAGACCAGTCCATAGACAGCACTGACCCCCCCCCCAAAATAAATAAATAAATAAATAAAAATAAGGGAAGGGGGGTCTTCCATGTTTGGCATGTGGGCTTCAGTCCGTGGGTTCTGTCGTTGCTGTTGCTTGTTTAAGTGAAGTTTCTTTGCACTCAGGTCTGATTCTGTGTGTCCTGCTGGTGTTTGCTCGCTGGCTGCACAGACAGAAACAAGCGGCCATCTGTGCTGGGCCGGCTCGCTGCTTTGCTTATGTTTGACTGGCAGGCAGCCGCGTGGCTTCAACAGCAAACAAAGTGCGGGGCGGCGGCGGCTGAGTTTACTAAGCATCTGAGCAGTTTCACTCTTCCTGTGTCCCTCCTGCTGATGGTTATTTGAATACCGCTTCCTGCAGCGGTCGGCAACACCTCCTTTTCACAATCGTGGTTTTGTTTTTCTCTCTCTCTCTTCACACACTCCACTCTCACTTCCGAGTTGTCGGGCAGATAAATTTGTCTGGTGGGGACTCGCAGCTGCTTTTACTTCGATGAACCAGTTCACGAGGAGCTGCGACGTGATTGGCTGAACACGTGCGGCCTGGTTTGGTTTCAGAGCTGCGTGCTGAACTAGAGCGCCGTGCCAGGAGCGAGTGTTCAGGAACATTCAGTGTCTGCGTGATTGCTCCCGTCTTCTTAGACCTTCCTCTCGGTGCATCACCGTGTTTATGTCACCTCAGCAGTCAGGTGACCAAACAGCCTCTGACCTCACAGCAGGTGAACTGGGCGGTCGGAGCCGGTGTGGCGGGGAAAGGTGATAAAAACACAAAATACATGTTTGTGACCAATCACAGCGCACACTGACCCGCCTGTCTGACTGCACCGTCACTGAGTTCATGTAGACAGACACAGGTGATTCCAGGTCATAAATGTATCACATGACCTGGACCGTGCAGGTGAGAGCAGACAGTCATGTCATGTGTCCTTCTCCTCCTGCCTTTATATATTTTATATATTCTTTAACTGTGATTCTGATTCCTGCTGCAGTGCATCTGCTCGGGCTCAGCTGCTCAGTAACAGTTGTTACAGCAGCGGTTTTACAGCGTTGGTCCAAACACCTTTAAGGAACGTTAGTAACCGTGGGTGTAGAAGCTCGGCCCTGCCTGCTGGAGTCTGTGAGCAGCGACGGGTTTTCTTGAAATAAGCTGCTTGGTATTTCCTGCAGGGCTGGGCCGCGCCGCCACACTCTGCTGCTTTGTGTTCAGGACGAGCCCCGACATGCCGCGGACACCTCACCGACGCTGATCTGCCTGTGGGCCTGCGTGGTTGGCTCTGAGGTGTGACCTGGATAAGCTTGGATTTGAAGTCAGCGGGCCTGCTCTTTGCAAACAAAGCCGCGGGTACCCGGGTGATCTCAGGTGTGCTGCAAAGGCACGTCGTGACCTCGCTGATGATAAGAGCATTCCTAACGAGGCGTTATCTGAGCGTGGGAATGTTACAGCACAAAAACAGCCAGAAAACACCCGAACAGGGGACCAACCTTTATTAAAGATTACAGCAAGCGATCACCTGTCAGCAGGACAGGAATACGAGTTCCTGTTCAATATCATTAAATATCATCATTAAAAAGTATCAATTCTGTCCCTGAACAACAGCATGGAGCCCCTTTAAACTAAAGGGTGAAGGTTTTGTGTGTTCTGTATGAGGTCACAGTGTAACCGTGTCCCTTCTCTCTTTCATCTCTCTGCAGCCGTGCCGTATCCTCCTGGAGACCGCCTGATGGTCAAAGAGCTGTACGTGGACGGGAGGCCCAGTTTGGAGGTGCTCAAGGCCCATCTGGTAAAGGAGGGTCGGCTGGAGGAGGAGACGGCCCTGCGGATCATCAACGAGGGTGCCGCCATCCTCCGGCAGGAGAAATGCATGCTTGAGGTGGAAGCCCCCATCACAGGTAAAGCCTCGCCTTGACCCCGCCCACTTGGTATGTCAGCGACGTGCAGAGACATTTAAAGATGTCAGCTGAGAATTTATCACCAGCATGTTTTCCTCTTTGTTAATGATGAAAGAACACGGTCTGCTAACGCTAATGTTACAGCTTTGCATGAGCGACAGCTCATAATCATCCTCCTCTCAGCTCAGCCTGTGTCTGAAAGCGGCTGTAGTAACGCTGAGCTTGTTGTGTTTGTATGTGCAGTGTGCGGAGATGTCCACGGTCAGTTCTTCGACCTGATGAAGCTCTTCGAGGTGGGTGGGTCCCCCAGCACCACCCGTTACCTGTTCCTCGGGGACTACGTAGACCGAGGCTACTTCAGCATCGAGGTGCGTGTCTGTAGCTTCCTCGGCACAGGAAAGAAATGTCATTTGTTGCCTTTTTATACTTTTTGTGCTCTTGTTTTGTCTCTTTTTCATTATTTTTTTTGTTTTTTGGGTCACTTTGTTTGTCTTCGGGTTGTTTTCTTCCTTTTTTGGCTCTTGTTTTCGGTCTTTCTTTTGTGCTTGTCTTGAATCTTTTTTGGGTTGTTTTGTGGGTATTAGTTGGCAGTTGGGGCGTTCTCTCATTTATTCGTTAGCTCCTGCGTACTTATACCCGTCCAGGTTTGCTGTGCGTCTTCAGCCTTCCTGGGTGTTGTGGGAGTGTGTGCAGAGCTCGGAGTCGTCTTGTTTATTGTGTTGGAGTTGTCAGGCTGTTTTGGTACAGAAATCCTGGCGTGACATTTGGAGACTCGGCCCGCACGGCTCTGCAGGGCATCTTTAAATAGTCATGGGTAATAAAAGGCACACTGTTTGCCCCCTCGCCGCCCTGACTGCCACACCCACTCTTCCACACAAACACACCCTGCTAGACACACACACTTACACAAACACACAAACTCAAACTCCAGCTGCGCCCCATCAGAGGGAGCACCGGGCGTCTTCTGGCATGGAGCTGCTGACATTTGTATGGCTGCCGTCGTGCTTCCTTGTTTGGGATTAGTGGACATCCTGGAGCTGCTCCTCCTCCTCCTCAGCTCTGCCTGGACCTCAGAGACGCCGTGTGTCATCGTCCTGTTTCAAAGTCACACTCAGTTTGCAGCAGCAGATGCTTGACTGAACTCTGTTAGTTTAGAGGTCATTTGTCTTCATAAAGACTCGTTTTCCAGACGACTCAACAGCCGCAGACCGAACGGCGTGCTGCGTGTCCCGACTCTGAGTCACGGCTGAATCAGCTGATTGCTCTAATGTCTTTTGTGTTTTTTGACCTTTTCAGACATTTAATTGGGCAGAAAAAGTCTCTCAGAAGTTTTAACTGCAGCTCAAATCTGAGTGTTTAGTCATACCACATGATCATGGCAGCACCGCATGCTTCAGTTCCTGTGACGTCCAGCACAGGCAGCAGTGAGTCGGCCCCCGTGTTAAAACGTTGTAGCACAAATAAACATGTTTGCAGACTGATGCACAAACTGTTTGCTCTCTGGAGAAAAGACAGTTTTGCCGATTATCCATAAACTAAGAGGAATCTCATTTACTGCTAAAAATCTTCACTTTTTAGCCACAAACCAGAAATTCTTGAGGTCGTCTCCTCTCTTTGAGGTTGTGTAGTTTTATTTTGTCTTGCTGTTTTCCTGCTGTTCTCTCCAGTCTCATCTTTCAAAGGCTGAATGGTGAAGCGTGCCGCTGCTCTTTTACTAACAAAGGGAACACGAGCGTAAAGTCACCCATGTCTGACACAAGCCGTGGCTTTACCAGCGCCATGAAGTTACATAATTGCATGTAGGAATGACAGCGTGCACGCAGCCCGACTCCAACACTGGTTATTCTTCTCGTCTTCCTCTGCGCTCGGCTCAGTTGAACAGCTCGACGCCTTCAGAGCAGAAAAAACATTAAATTGAAACAGGTGGTGCACAAAAACACAGGAGTGAGTGGCAGCTGAAAGGATCCGTGGGTTTGTTTGGAGGTTGAGGATGACGTCCGTCAGCTGCCGGTTTACTGCATGTCAGTGCTTCAGCAGCTCTTTCCCTGATGGAGATGAAGGTTTCTCCATGATACTCGTATTCCCTCTGCACCGAGAGTTTCTGCTCGAGGACTGTCGGCCACGGCCTGTAGCGATCAATAATGGCATCGACTAATCCCCCATAATTAATGAATCTGTCAGAGTCAGTAAACAGCGGCGGATCATCTCACAGCGTCGGGCTGCTGTTAGTCATCTCACAGCCTGCAGACCTCCTCCTCTGCCGGCCTCCACCTTCAGTCATGGCGGTGAACCGGGAATGATAATCCAACGTTATCATCCTGATTATTATGTCACATTCAGCGTAAACCTTTTATGTTTGTGCTTTATTTTCACCATGACGGTGTTGCCTCTCCCCACCTTAAAATCTCACATCACTCACAACAACAGCTGGACTGTTTAACTGAAGGAGAATTTGGACCCAGGAGCGGTTAACTCCATCAGTCTTAGAGAACTGTTCACGTGGAGTCAGGTGATGGTGTTTCTCACGATTATCCCTGTGTGTGTGTGTGTGTTACTGCAGTGTGTACTGTACCTGTGGGCCCTGAAGGTCAACCATCCCAACACCCTCTTCCTCCTCAGAGGCAACCACGAGTGCCGACATCTCACAGAGTACTTCACCTTCAAGCAGGAGTGTAAGTGTTTGTCCTCACACACCAGCATCAGAGACCGCTTATCTGACTGCAGCTGACCTTGGTGTGTGTGCGTTTCCAGGTAAGATAAAGTACTCTGAGCGTGTATACGATGCCTGCATGGAGGCGTTTGACTGCCTGCCTCTGGCCGCCCTCCTCAACCAGCAGTTCCTGTGTGTGCACGGAGGTCTAAGCCCTGAGATCACCTGCCTGGATGACATACGAAAGGTGAGATGTGTTACATCACGAAAGGGCTGACAGCCAGAGTCTTCAGTAGGTACGTCACTGATAGTCTGAAGTTTTGCATTTTTCATCGGTTTCTAATAATAACGTAAATGTTTGTAAATGTTTATAAACCACAAGCCTGAATCTGACTTCACTGACTTCTCTGTTTACGACATGTGCTGGCTCATGGCTGGCTTACTGGGGTCAGCCAATCAGAAGAAAGTGTGCTTTTAGGGAGGAGGGCCTTAGGAAGAGTGAGAGAGTTATTGAGAGAGAGTTTGGCTCTTGTCCCAAAAGGCTGATTCTGTTCATCTGGACATGGCGTTTTTAGTGGGAGAAGCTTTTGTCACTCATCCAAGTGACTTCTTCAGTCTCAGCTGACTGCAGGTTTCCACAATCTTATAAACAGTACATTTACATAATGACTGAAACCAGCCCACTGAAGGAACAATGGGGCTGTGAGGTCAGTTCCTTGATCCTTAATGAGTGATGAGTGACAAAACATTTCTCCCACTGAAAACGCTACGTCCAGATGAACAGAATCAGCCTTTTGGGATTTACTTACCTGGATGATTGAGAATGCATCAAGATATTAGAAGAGCCGGCAGGCGAAGAATCAGAGCTGGAAACGATTTACTCTTCTTGGTGGTGGTTTATAAACACATTCTCTTTTAGAGAGGTTTCACAATGAGCTCACCTGAAACCCTGGCTGATTGGGACCCACACCCAGTTTCACACCTTGGCTCAGGCGATTAGAGGATCATCAGGGGGTCCTTTTGTCCCTCTGTGGGGGGATACTCCCACTAGGTTTATATCTGGGACTCTCCACCATTTGACCTTAGAACTGAAGAAGCTTCTCGGATGAGAGGTGAAACATCTTCAAGCAACTTAAAGAAGTCCAGACGCTTTTCTTTGCAAGCTCCTTTGACTACGATGACCTGGATGACTGAGAACCTCACAGACACATTCTCTTTTAGAGTTTAAATTATCTGAAATTTTCCTGTTTTTTCCAGCTGGACCGGTTTAAGGAGCCTCCGGCATTCGGGCCAATGTGCGACCTGCTGTGGTCAGACCCGGGCGAGGACTACGGCTCAGAGAAGACCCAGGAACACTTCTGCCACAACAGTGTCAGAGGATGCTCTTATTTCTACAGGTACAAGCCACGCTGCTGCCGCCCGAGCACCAAAAAGCAGAGCGCTCTGTTAATCCGAGCTGATTAAAGCTTTTACAAACAATGGCTTATCTGTGGATAAGTGAGTGCCGTTAAATCCGCTGTCACACAGATACTGAAAATAAATATTAGCATTCCCTGCTCTGTCTTAATAGTTAAGCTGAATCTGCAGCGTTGACACTGCTCGGAAGTCACAGGGCGACGAAAGCTGCTCCTAAGCCTCTTTTATCCACCATTAGTTTGTTTCAGTAGCTCGACATTTACAGAACTCATTACAGCGAGCATGTTTGGGGCCGTCTGGCCTTTATTACCGAGTCAGCACACACAAACCTGAGTGAGCATCTGGGTCGCTTCAGACGGCGTCTCAGACCCATCACTGGACACGACTGACTGGGAGGATCCACACAGACCCACACCACTACAGGAAGTAAAGACGGCCTTACTTAGGGTGGAGGCCACATATACAGTGAGAGAAAAATGTGACGCTGCATCGATTTTAACGTGAAATAATTCAAGAACAGAGGCAGCAGCATCAGAAGTTTACTTCCCGTCTCTATTTTTAGGGTCAGAAAAAAGGTCTGGGGTTTTGTTTTTTTTTGTTTTTTTTTTTTGTTCTGTTTTTTTTTTTAAACGTTGCTCAATAAAAGTCTGCTCCTATCAATCACCGATACAGGAAGTGTATCCTTTATTAAAGTAAACCGATAGCTCCCTGCAGTTTTTAAGACAGAATGTTTTCTTGCACTTCCTGACGCGAAGCATCGGTGACCTCTGCTGGAGGTTTCATCCTGTTAAATGGGAGTTTTTTCTCTCAAATGTCGCCAAGCGTTTGCTCAAAGGGTGTCATGTGATAACTGTGGGGTCTTTATTAAGCTCCCTGAGTTAGCTGCTGTTGTGATTTGGTGTTATACAAAAATAAATTGAAATGTTCCTCAACTGTAAGCCTCGGGCTGCATGATGCTGGTGGCCTCAGGCTTAAACTCAGGTTTAAGTGATGATTGTGTGACACCACCTGCACACCTGACCCATACAGACTGAGCTTCATGAAGGCGCCTCCATCTTCTTTAATGTGTGGTTTGCTGAATGAATCATCTCCTTGAACTTTAGTCAAGTGATGAAGGGGATTCATTTCTGGGCTTTGCTTTTACTTGAGTGAGTGTGGATTAAAGAAAAAAAACTCAGGAAGTGTGTGTGTGTGTGTGTGTGGGGTATGATTTTCTGAAGTGAGCTGGCATTTCTGTGAGGATCTGATCCCCCCCCGGTGTAAAGCCCCGACCTTAATTAATCCTAATTTTAGCGCTTTCAGCATCGCTTGTCATACTCGAGTTTGAGCAGCCCTCTTAGCTGTCATGGTAACTGCGGTGGGTTGGAGGAGGCGGTTCTGATGCTCATCACGTTCAGTGAGATCACCTCCATCTGTGTGTGTGTGTCTTGTAAAAGCCGTTCTTTAAAACTCTTCTTGTTGTGTGTGTGTTTCAGTTACCCGGCAGTCTGTGACTTTCTGATGAACAATAACCTGCTGTCTGTAATACGAGCACATGAAGCTCAGGACGCTGGGTGAGTTCATTACGGCTGTTTATAAACAAAAGTGTGTTTTCATGACCGTGTGTGTGTGCGGCCTGCCCCTCGTGGATTTTAGAGGAAGTGCAGTGTTTTTAAAGCACCGTCCATTTTTCTCCGGCAGGTATCGAATGTACAGGAAAAGTCAGACGACGGGGTTTCCTTCTTTAATCACAATCTTCTCGGCTCCCAACTACCTGGATGTGTACAACAACAAAGGTAAGAGGACCAGAGGAGGAGGGAAACCATGGCAGCAGGAGGCAGGCTGATGGAGTCAAGATAATGAGTGTGTGTGTGTGTGTGTGTGTGTGTGTGTGTGTGTGTGTGTGTGGTCCTCAGCGGCGGTGCTGAAATACGAGAACAACGTGATGAACATTCGGCAGTTTAACTGCTCCCCTCACCCTTACTGGCTCCCCAACTTCATGGATGTCTTCACCTGGTCTCTGCCCTTCGTTGGAGAGAAAGGTGAGGGTCAAAGAGGAGGGAGGATCTTTCTAAAGTTTGCATTCTGTGATAACCAATCAGACATGCCGCTGTGTGTGTCCTCTGAAACAGTGACGGAGATGCTGGTGAACGTGCTGAACATTTGCTCCGATGACGAGCTCCTATCCGAAGCCGACGACACGGGCGAGGGTAAGAACGCCTTTAGCCACACCCATTTAGTTTCCACACATGCTCAGTAAGGCTCGGCCTGCACGGACGGCAGTTTGGCACCTTTGCATTTCTTGCCATGTTAGGTTCACATGGTCACGAGGGTGTCGCACATACCTCCTGCAGCAGGTTCACACGTTTTATTTTCACTGTCTTCACAGTGAATTCTGTGCGGTTTTCTTAGATAAAGTGCAGCTCGCAGCAGTGAGACAGGATATCAGACTATCCTTGAACACACGACACTGACCTCTGATGGCGGTGATAAAAACACAACTCTGTGCTGAAAGCTTTAGTTTTCTTACAGTCGAGCTGATGTAAAGTGGATCTGATCCATGTCTCTGCTGTTCCAGTGGGACTTTCATGGTAAAATATCTAATCATGAGCTCAGTCTGTGTTCAGTAATCTCTGTGAGCCCAAAGCTCAGCATGCACACTGCTCTGAACACCCAGTTTACCCCTTTTTTTCCCTACTTTTGGATCTCTGTGATGTCATAGAGAGCAGGGCTGAGATGTTCTGGTTTAGATCAGCTTCACTGGAAGTGCTGTATGCCAGCCAGATGGTGCTCTGGGGTGTTTTACTAGCTGCTGACAGGCTGACTGTGGAGGCCGGCGAGTCAGAGAAGCCTTAAAAAAAAAAAAAAAGTTGTCAGTAGTATCTGGCGTGTTGCCATGGCGACCTGCAGCGGGTGCTTAACACTGAATGTAAATGAATCAGATGCGTTGGGGCCCAGGGAGGAAGTGAAACCCTGAGGGAAGTCGATGTGTGGCGGCAGCTGTTAGAACGAGTTTGGCTCATAACTGCGAGAGCGCAGTCGCTATTAGCCCCGCCTCCTCTGTGGTTCGCTGATTATTACTGTGATAATCTCTGCTAACAATGAGACGGTTATGAGGAAGATGAAGGAGATACCTGCTGTGGGGTTTACAGTCTTACTGATTCAGGAAGAAATAAATGTTTTATTCCGTCAGAGTTACAGGTCAGCTCAGATTATCACTCATCCTCTGAATTAATCATTAATGCTCAGAACACTTCAGCAGGTCTCTGAAAGGAAGACGACATCGAGCTGTGTGCGTGTGCATTAAACACTCAGGTTATCACAGCTTCCTCTAGTCTTGGATCTTTGTGATGTCACAGAGAGTCAAAGTTTTGTTTACCAGGGCAGACAATCAGAACATGGTTTCCTTAAAGGAAGATGAGCTAAAAAAAGCTTGTTTCAGAGTGAGCTGAGGCTCAGGATCAGATATAGAAGCATTATTCTGAATTGTGCATACAAAGCTGCTCTACGAGTGTTCAGGAATAAAAACCTGGAGCAGGAAATGGGCAGAACTGTGAATCCACTCCGACAGCTCGATCAGTGTCGGCCTGAAGCTCAAGAAACTGAGGAAACTATTTTTAAATAGTCTTTACTTGTGTGGACGGGGAATGATGAAAAAAGAGGAGCCTGTTGGGTATTTTTGAATGATGAGCTCTGGAATTAAATTAAAAAAAAAACTCGGGGAAAATAAACTGGATCAAATTTACTGCAGCAAACTGAGATTGAAAGAAAATGTTTTTAACTGTTAAAAGTCCAAAATGTATTCCCTCAATCACATTTACCAAAGACAGCTACTTTTCTAGGGCGCTTCCGGCCCCTGGGCCTTATGTTTGACACCCCTGGGAGAAACAACTTGAACTATAAATGTGTCATAATGCTTTAAACTTACTGAAAACTCGCTGCATGGGTGACGTGCTCGGGTTCATTGGGTTTAAATATGTCTGTGCATCATCTGTTTTCTCGTGTGACGGTTCACTGAATTTGTGAAATTTTAGACCAATTTGTTTGCTTAAAAATATACTTTTCCTCTGCTCAAATTATTATGTGGTAGTTAGAAGTTCCCATCAGGTCATAACTAGTCTGCACATTCGGTGTATTTTTCTATGCATGTGACTTTTTTAAAGTCTGTGTATTTGTTATTTCTGTGCACAAGTTACTTATTTCTGATTTAAGGCTGGTTCACACGGTTGAATTCTCCGACCCAGCTGCTTGGCTCTGAGGTTTTTCTCACTGTGTTCTGCAGATGTCTTGGTTAAATCCAGTTCTGCCTCAATTTCTAAAAACAGTCAGACTCGCATCTTGATATCCTTACGAACGTTTCGTCGACCCTGACAAGCTTCCGCAGTATAGATCGAGTTCTTCATTTCAAATGCCACCAAACTTTTCAAGACTTTTTCCATTCTGCTCCTCAGGTGGCGCTCCGGCTGTCAGGAAGGAGGTGATCAGGAACAAGATCCGGGCGATTGGAAAGATGGCTCGCGTCTTCTCCGTGCTCAGGTGTGTTTTATATTCCTGAAGGTTTGGGTGAAGTTTATACTGCAATGAGACTCTTTAACATCAGGGCCATGTTTAGAAGCAGGAGACGGTTTAAGTCCTTTTTCTGTACGATTTCTTTCTTTCTTTTTTTAATCGTCACTCTAAAATGTGGAATAAAGAGGTTGTTGGAGCACGGTACTGAGAGTTTTGCTCCACTTTGATTTAAGGCTAATGAGTTTCTCAGTCGTTTACATTTGTCCTCCTTTGATTCTGTGGAAGTGTGTCAGAATAATTTGTCCTTAAAGTGTGACTGCTCCTCTTCAGAAAATGTCTTGCTGTTATTTTAAGGCTCAGGAAAGCATCGCAGGCTCCTTATCTTCAGTCCGTCTTTATGACTGAGTTGATCTCTATCAGCAGTTTAATTCTACTTCTGTTTGCACTCACTTCTTCAACCGAGAACTTTGTTTCATTACAGCTTGGTGTCTTTTTACTGAAGTGCAAATCATAAAATGAAAATTAGGACTATAATAAAATCAAATGAAACGGTCCCACACCCAGGATATCAGATATGATATAAAACCACAGATACAGACACGTGCAAAGAACAAAAGCCTGAAAAAACAGGTCAAGTTTAAACCAGTTAACCAGATGTATATTGGCCCGTGTACGGGAATCTGAACAGCTCAGCAGCGTTTCATTGGACCTGCTGCTAACAGAAGCTCATTAATGCTTTCTAAACTAACAGGTTTAACAGATATCTGCACATGAATATTTAGACATGTTGGGAAATGGACAGTCTTTGGTACCAGAAGCGTTCTGAATTCTGATTGGCTTTGGCTATAATCAGGCGAAAAGTCGGTGTGGTTTGGACAAAGTCGGACTGATAAGGTGGGATTTTTTTCACACCTAACCAACACAAACGAGGGTGTGTTTGCCTGGTATTTAGACTTGGCTTCAGTTACTCGGGTTTGACCTAAACAAATATTATGTTTGAACAAATCAGTTTGTTGTACAGTTTGAGTAATTTAGTAGAACTAAACATTTAGTTCAGCCACAGATGAATTCAACCCTGACTTCTTTAGAGAACTGACATCAGCCGAGTAGGAACAAATAGCCGTGTGTTGTCTGGATAGAGCAGCACCTTTATTATTTATTTATTAGAAGGGTGAATAAAAAAATTGCAGCAGGCCAGTGATTGACCACGTCTTTCAGCTTTTATGTCTTTATGAAAATCACTTCATGTTTCAGTTATTTTTGCAAATCCCGTCATCTGCAGTAAAAGACTAAACAGGTGACTTGTCTCCTGGTGGAGAGGAACAAGCTTTCCTCAGAAAACTGAGAAAGAGGTTTGCATGTGTTTGCATCTCAGTGTGGTTGCTAATAAAGAGTACCTCCACCTAAGCAGAGCTTAAAAAGGCTCCCAAGCTGGAGCTCTACAAACGTGCTTTGTTCCTAGTTTCTGCTGTGTTGGCACACAGGAAACACACAGGAGGCTATGAAAGGTTGTGTGGAGCTTTGAGCTCTGGTTATATCATAAACAATAATCTGGAGAGCTAATCTGGTAGAATGTTGGTGAACCTGGTCAGGAGGAGTCCTTGTTTCTTCTTTCAGGTTTGTTGTGCAGCAGTGACCACCTCCTCCCATCTGTGCTGTCTCTGAAAACATCACGCCGTCATATTTAGACTTCCTGTCTGGAGGCTTTTGAAGTTAACTGTGCCTCATCGGTGACACGATCAGCTGACACTCTCTAATGATGTTGTGTTTGTGTGTCGACAGAGAGGAGAACGAGAGCGTACTGCAGCTGAAGGGGCTGACCCCGACGGGGACGCTGCCCCTCGGTGTTTTGTCCGGCGGTCGGCGGACTCTGCAGAGCGGTGAGTGCGAGCGCAGCGGAACATCCCACCAAACACTAACCCAGAGTCCAGCTAACACTAACCGCCCCATGCCTGCACTCACACCGAGAGACTAACCGCCGAGAAACTGCCCCCGCCTCATCAGCATGTAGCCTGGTGGAAATGTCGAGTGTCCTCAATTCTCCTGTGACGGACCAACCTGTGCACATCTCTGCAGCACACTGGCCTTCAAAGACGAACGGCTGCAGGGAGAGCAAGCACATATCAAACTGCATTTACTTATTTTCATGGATTAATGGCTAATTATACTTATTATTACAAAGCCTGAAAACTTCACCCACACTCCTGGTCCTGATCTGGTCATGTAGATCACTTCATCAGCTGCAGCTTGTGGCAATATTCCAGGTTATATGTATAACGTCTGTATTTATGGAGGTGAATTCATATTAAATGTTAAAGTAGTCCCCCCTGGTAAAAACCATCATCACCAGGGTCAGACTAACCAGCGGGTCTTACTTCAGAGCAGGGTAGGTCGGAGTTGGCGGCATGAACTTTGCACCACTGAATCAGGACCGATTGGGAGCTGCGTCACGTTTAGACGCCAAAATCGTCACTTTGATATGACGGTAGAGTCAGGCGCGGGTGGTTTGTCTTTGCGGTTTCCGACAGACCCCCATAAACCCAATGAAGATGTTAGCTGTGCTCTAATCTCGGACTCTGTGGTCAGGATGGTGGGGTGGTGGGGGGTGGGTGGGGTTGTATGATGATTGACTCCATGTTAACAGGACTGATAACGTGACTGACTGAATGCATTGATATATAATGTTCCCACTCTCTCTCCATTGGTTTTTTGGCATGGCACTTCTACTCACGCTTACACAGCCACCGTAGAGGCAGAAGAGGCACGAGGTATGCAACCGACCCTCCGACTCTCTGTGTGACTGTCTGTGTTCACCCACTCTGAAATATGTCTGTGCTGTTGGTGTCTAATGTTCAACCTGAACCTTTTATGAGCTAATGTGAGAGCTGATTATTGATCACCTGTTTCTTTGTCTTCATGCTGTCTTTGTCCTGTTTCAAGTAAGTTTCCTCACCTTCTCTTCGTGTTTTTAAAAGTGACTGTTTGTGCAGCGGGTCAGAAACGAGCCAGCAGGACAGCAAAAGTTCACACACAAGTTCTAAAATAAAAAGTGAAATATTTTTAATGATGTTACACGCTAATAAAATACTGTAGTAAAATACTAATCTGTTACTAAAATTTAAAATGTTAAATGGTAAATAATAAAATATCTAAATAATATTAACATAATTGCCATAATTATATATTACTAATTAGAAATATCCTTAAAGTACAAAAATATTGCTGAAAATAATTTTGATTAAATGTTTTCTTTACATTTTTGACAATTTATTTTATAAATTAAATGGAATTTGTTAAAAGTAATAGAAGTATTTTACTGAAATTTTAAAGAAAAATCTCAAAATTATTTTAAAATATTTCTTAAAACTGGAAAGTTTTTTTACACAATAACATGATTTTTTTTTCACCAGATATTTATTTTTAGGAGAAATCGTTGAAATGTGTCATAAAATATTAGCATTACGTGCAGACATTGAAAATACATTTTAAAGTAAAGCTGGACGGCGGCATCCAGCGCTGGCGGTGACCTTCTGACCCGGCTGTGCTTGACGTCTCCTCGTGTCTAACCTCTTCCTGTTTCCTCGCAGCCATTCAAGGCTTCAACCCGCAGCACAAGATCCAGAGCTTCGAGGAGGCGCGAGGGCTGGACCGCATCAACGAGAGGATGCCGCCGCGTCGCGACAGCAAGCAGCACGAGGCCCCGCCCTCCCTCAACAACCTGCCGGCGAGCACCGGACCCCCGGACAAGAACGGCACCAACGCTCAGGCCTAGACCCTCCCCCTCCTCTCCCTCCTTCTCTCCTTCCCTGCCTCCTTTCCTTTCCTCCCCTCCCTCCTCCCTCCGTCACGAGCGGCAGACGAGGCCGTTCAGTCCGAGCGACTCGCCGCGCTTTATTTATTACATCATCGGTTAAATATCGTAGATTCAGACTGAACAGGAAAAGTCTCAGCGCCGCTCGATGCCTCCAATCAGGAGGCAGCTGGTACTTGATGCCACACCTTCGTATCAGCCACACCTCTTTTTCTTCTTTTTTCTTCTTTGGTCCGGGGAGGAAGTGACGCTCATTCAAACGCTGTGTTCGTGCCCACACACACACACACACACACACACACACACACACACACACACACACACACACACACACACACACACACCCATCCTTTCTTATGCCAATGATAGTGTGACTGAGCTCCGCCGAGCGAGTATTTACATTTATAATATATGTATATTTTAATTGTTCCCTCTTTTCAATGTGATGTTTTTTGTTTTTTTTTTATAACATAGACTTAGGCTTTAACTATCCAGGTGGGAGGGGGCGGAGCGAGAGTGGAGGTGTGGAGGCAGTGGAGGGAAAGAGTTGAAGGTTCTGCTTTATTAAAACTGAGTTTCTGAGCTGAAGCTCCTAATTCTGGAAAAATGACTCGAGCCTCCCCGGCCGGTTGAACTTCAGACAGATCTGTTATATTCCGATATTTTGGAAAAGCCGGGAACGCGTCATGCTCCTGTTTTACAGGAGTGAGTTTAACATGGCCTCCACTGGCGCTCCAGCGCGTTTTAGTGAAATGCACCTTTACAAATCCATCGCAGCTCTTTGGGAAAATTGTTATAAAAGAATTATATTAAAATCATTGGTCAAAAATATCTGAGAAAAATGGAAATGACAGCCTGAGAAAATATTTTAATGAATTAAAAACTCAAAAGAGAATTCTGCCAAAACAAATCAGAGAAAATCTGAAAATTATAATTTGTGAAACTTGTGAGAGGAAAAAAAGTTTAAAAAAAAAGTGTACATAAATAAAGTCATCTGTTAATAAATGGCTTGAGTGCTGACGCAGAATAAAGCTGAATCATTTAACATGACGGCAGTCAGAAACCACCGATCCTCCTAGTCTCTGAGCTGGATGTAAATAATAATCATAATCATCAATATTAATAATTTACGTCATTTTTGATTGAAATTGATTGAGACCGGCAGTTTTAGTAGAACAGAAGAGCCCTTCACACAAAGAGGAGGAGGGAGTTTCAGGTGTGCTTCAGGTGTGATGAGGACCTGCGTGGGTTTGATTTGACTCTTGATTTATTTTTGGTGGGGGGGGTTTGCCGGGCCTCATTTCTCAGAACATATCTCACCGAATGTACAGAGAGGAAAAAACATCTGGATGTTTGTCTGTAAGCAGCTGGATTTGTTCCTGCGAGGCCTCATCTCTGTAGACGTTTCACTCATTCAATAAAAACTCAACAACAGCTGCTCAGTGTGTGTCTGTGTGTGCTTTGGTCTCAAGGACGCCGTCTGTGTGCGAACAGGTCGCCGAGCAGCTGCCAATCAGAGTGCGGCGTGGGAGGTGGTCCTTTGTGCAGCTTTTATCTGTTACCAAGCAACGCAGACTCTCCACATCATCACCTGCTGCTCACTCCACGTGAAGTAGCTCGCAGCCAGGCGGGAAAGGCTGACGATGATTCAATTTAATAATTAAAAAAATAAAATATGGTGGTGGGGGTGTTTGGACTGCTCACAGCAGAAACCGTCAACAGCGAGCTGGGAGGTGTGACGCTGTAGTAACAGGAAGAGGCATTTCCAATCTCCTGTGACTCGGTCACACCTGACACAGCAGGAGATCTGCTGCTTGGACTTCTGGAGAACCAAAGGAGATGAGCACACAGAGGTGTTCAGATGAACTTTGACCTTTCAGGCTGTGTTTTCCTGCCAACATTAGTGCTGTGAGCTCAGTGTAAATGATTTGACTCCCGTCTTTGTTTTCAATGAGTAAAAGCAAGGGTGTCAAACGTAAGGTGCAAGGGCCAGATCTGGCTCGGGAAAGTCTTTGATCCGGCCCGCTGGATGTCTTTGGAAAATGAAAAATTATAAATGAATAAAGAATATAAAAACTTTCACTGTGAATGAACAGGAACTTTCTGTGTTAAAATTACAGAGCTTTGCTGTAATTTTACACATTTCTCAGTTTAAGCTCAAACAGTCGCGCTGACAGATTTCTTTCACTTCCTGCGACGGCATTTTTTTTTCATCGTGTGGAAAAACTTTCTCATGTTCAGTTAAACTTCTCACACTGGCAGGGAGCAGCTATGAGTTCGACATCCCTGCTGGGGAGAGATGTAGACTGGACATTGGATAATGATGGTGGTGGTGGTGATCATCATCATCATGATGATGAAGGCAGAAAAACCCAAAGATCCAGAGAGAGGGTGGGGTCGAGCCAGAGGTGGAGGTCAAAACTGTGATAGGATGATAAAAGTGGAAGCTAAGTAAGAACCCAGTTCTGAATGTGTGAATGCCTCGACACTGACAACCAGTCCTGTCCCTGAGCCGTGTGGTTGGAACTGGTTCCAGTCTGAGCTCTGGTATGCAGGTACGGAGGACTTTTATGGTGAAAATGTGTGAAAAAAAGACTCGAGAGACAGACGTTACTCTGCAAGTTTATTGGTCTCCGTTATATCAGAGGACAGAAACAGGACTGCGAGGGACGGATGAGACGGCACAGGTGACACCAGGTGAGCTAGCAGGAACTGCAGGTGTGTGTGGTCTGAACTCCACGTGGAGTAATATTTAAAAACAAACTATACAGCCAAAAATATTTTCAACAAGATTTCCAAAATAAAACGCTTCACAGTAGCAGACAAATGCAGAAAAAATACAATCATCCAATAAATAAAAGCTGCATGTGGTTAATCATTACAATCAGCTGTTAGACCCGGACTGCTACCATGAAGCTGCAGGACCACAATCACCACCACGAGCAGCCTGCTTCTCTGCAGCTGACAGAACAGGCTGGGCAAGCTTAGAGCGCCCTCAGCTGGGCCTCCAGGGGAATTACAGCCAGCCTGAAGCAGCCCGGTGGGTTTCAGACTTCCTGAAGCCTCTGCAACTCCCAGAGCTGCTCTGAACATCTGTGAAGGATTGTGGAAGAGCTGCAGGCTTCCGTGATAACGGGCCGTCACTAAAAAGAAAGCTCTCTAAATAAAGATCATGATCCTCCTGAACCTGAGGTTTGACTAACAGACCCAGGATATGCTGGAGATTGAGGTCTGTTCTTTCCACAAATCCTTACGAGGTGTCCATAATGACTTTCCTAGACCTAGAAATGATTGGGAAAGCTGTAAGAGGTCATTTTCATTTTTACTATCACACTAATAATCCCATCTAACTGTCTAACTACAAGGATGAAAGTGAAGCAGCTTCATGTTAGCGTAACACCTGAAGATGGCGTGAAATCTGAGGGACCCGCAGCAGGTCCCTGACATGGATCAGACCCGGAGCTGGGAATAATCCACGTGAGGAGACAGAGCTACAGAGATTACATGTGATGAAGATGATGAAGATAATGTGGTGACCTGTAAGCAGTGGTGATTATATGCGCGGCACAGGTAATCAGTGTATCGATTAAGGTTAGTCGCAGTAAAAGGTTAACCAGGACTGGTCTGCTCCTCGGCGAGCTTCCAGGAGCACGGTTAGTAAGATGGAGGACGTATCGGAGTGAGGTGATTGGCTCTGTGTGTGTCTGCTGATTGGATATTTTATTTGAACCCCTCCTACTTTAAAACCTTCATCAAGTATTTGTTGGGATGAGGTCACTTCCTGTTAGAAAAGCGAGGCTTTCTTCTTCAGTTCATTTCGTTTCCACAGCGAGAGGCGCTCAAACTCGGCCATCGGCATCCCGAACACCTGCTCAAACTCCTCCTGGGACAGGTGCCGCTGACAGGGAGGAGAAGAAGAAGAAGTTAAAACCTCCAGTGAAGCAGTCGTGCTTCAGCGACGCTCAGACTGGGAGGACTGGAACCAGTCCCACCTCTAAAAAAGTTTATGTAAACCAGTTCTAAAGTTAAACTGGGACGCGCAAACAAGTCTGACTTCAAACAGTCAAATTGGGAAACCAGAGAAACCAGTGCTACCACAGAGAAGCTTCAACTGGGACACTGAGAAGGAAGACAGAAAATGACTACCCAGCACAGCGTCCCTCACCTCAAGCCGAGTGCGGTCCACGCCTGGAGGCAGCTTACAGCGCCCTCTGTGGGTCACAACCAGTGTCTCATAGGGGTAGATCTGAAATACACAGCATGCCATCAGCTGGAGGGAGTACTCGGATACTACACTGCAAAGTACACATCAGTGTAACGAGCCAGTAGTACCTAAGTTAGGGGTATTACAATGATATCAGAGACAGTACCAGTCAGATCTGATCAGCTGATTGTTTGCGTCAACTGATTATAAAAATTTAGACAAAATTCAGAAGTAAAATCAGTAATCGAAGTGATTAAAAAGGGTCTAATTTTGTTCCTGTACTTCACAGAGCAGCTTTGCATGATTCACAGTTCAACATAATCCTCCTTTATCTGATCGGAAATGCCTTGTTTTAACTCCTCCCCTTTTAAGTCAGCTCTCTTCTGATTGGCTCCCAATCACAAAGAGCAGCTTAAAGATAAATATGTTTTATTTTGAACTGTGAATCATGCAGAGCTACTCTACCAGAGACTGGGAGCGCCTCACCTTCTGCTCCAGGATGCTCGGCAGAGAGTTTCCTCGGTCCATGCGCTCCCTGCGAGTGTCACCGTTCTGCACACACACATTTAAAATGCTCAGACTGATTTAACACGACACATGAAACCAACACGTTAATCTGACGCTTCTGTCAGCACAAGTCAGGAAGACTGTTTCTAAATTCTGGATTTCTCCATCTCTGGCCTGGAGCGTTCCAGACAGCCGGTGACAGGAAATGAAGCCAGTGGTATCTTTACTGAAGCGTTCCTTCATGGAAAACACGGAAGTTTTCTACAGTCCAACACGTTAAAGCTCGAGCCCAACAGTCTCTGTGAACATCAGCTGGATCGTGACATGTGGGCCATCAAAGCCCTCCTGCTCCTGATGGTCTGCGCCACATCTGCCTCATAGTGCTGTTTGGATTTATCCTCAGCAGCTGCAGCAGCTGCAGCGTCTGCATCACAGAACAGCGTCTGTGGCCCTGAGAGCTCAAATGCAATGCGACTTCAGAAAACATAGCAAATAATAAAATATCGCAAAATCTCACAATATGAAGCAGACCGTGATGAAAAGCTGCAACGGTGACAGTAAACAAGCCAAGGATTGGTTGGAGCTGATTGAGGGAGAGATGCTATTCTAATCACATGATTCATGTACTGTACATGTATGTTTGCTATTACTGGTTCACCTGAATCACCTCTGTTGTGTTTTTGCTTTTTTCAATTTTCTGGTGTTTTGACCTCTCTGGGCCTCCTTACAAACTGTCTATCAAAGAGACAAAGACTTAATGAGAGTGTTCTATAAGAAATAATCCAACAATAACAGACCAGTGAGGCTTTAGAGAGGCGTGAGACTGCAGGAAATACGAGGGTGGGGTTAGTCGCCCTGCTGTGAAGTGTCTGACAGTGACCAGTCGTGTGCTAAAGTGGTAAAGAGGAGCTGATTCTTTATGTCGAGGTATGCAAAGCTGCAGGAACCTAAATTCAACCGTTGACTTCCAGGTGCCAAACCTGCAGTTCCTCTGACGACCACCAGAGGCTCCAACAGCGAGTCAGTGCTCCTTTATAACAGCTGTGGGGGCGGGGCCAGTAATGTGCTCAGGTGTGTCAGGGCTGTGCCGGTTAAACAGGTCATGCACACAGACATGCTTACCTGAGCAGCTGAAAGATAGAAGACACAACAGGAAGAGCAGAGGTTAGTACCGAGTGATGTCACTCAGGTGTGTCAGGCACAGTTCATCAGCACACTCACAGGTGACTCGTTTCTACAAACTCTGGTTGTTTTTGTTTCATGTGATGTGCGTTAGGCTCATGTGACCAATCGTCTGTGAGAGCTGCACGCTCAGAAGGAACTCATTAAACCAGCAGCGCCGCTCTTTTTTCTGATGTCATGAAAAAGGTGAGCGAGGACTCATACCTGGCCGTCCTTTATCGCCATCTGTGGAAAACTCTGCCGACTGCATCTGCAACACACAACCAGTTCTTTTGAGCGTTAACTTTACGCCATGGGCGGTTAAAGATGGGCGGAGCCACTGTGGCATCACCTCCATCGGTGCAACGACTTATCAGCCAATTCTTCACACCAAAACTTCACACCAAAGCTAATCCTCCATTTTGAAACATCGTGGGACTGAGATTTAATTTTATACAAGTTTGACCCAACAAACACAAACAGCTGTTTCATACACGTCTACAGGAAAGAAGTGTTTCTGCAGCCACAGCTGTCGCCCCCTGCTGGCTGCTCAGGAAGAAAAAAT